TCCTTCTCTCCCTGTCTCAATCCTCCTCCTCCTCCTCCTATCTCGTTTGCTGGCAGCGAAGAACTCTCAGGATTTCTCACACTACCTGCAGAACCATCGTCCTCCTCCTCCCCCCAACTGCCCTGCTCCTTTCTGGCAGCTCATGCAGAGCTGTTGGAACTCCAGACCTGCAGAGAGACCGTCTTTCCCAGAGGTTCCTCCTCCTCCGCGATCATCACACGGCACACGTTTCCTTCTTCCTCCTCCTCCATCTTCTCCTGCAACTTTCCATCCGCTCCTTTGCTTCCTCGATCTCTTCCCTGCCAGCTTCTGAGTCTCAAGCAGGTGCTCTGTCAACTGGAGGACATGCAGTTTGTGTTCAATCTTGTAGCATCCACAAGGAACACTCAGCAGCATTCTGAGAGCTACGTGAGTTTCTCCGCCTCCTCCTCCTCCTCCTCCTCCTCGTCCTCGTCCTCCTCGTCCTCGTCCTCCTCGTCCTCGTCCTCCTCCCTCGCCTTCTCTTCATCTGTGTGCTATCACATCACAAATTTCTTTCTCTCTGCCCCCTTGTCTCGCTCCCTCTGCTCATCCTGCAGCAGGGAGGAGGTGACGGTCAGGGCTCGTTCGCTCGCACGCTCAACGGGGGAAACGAGAATGGTGGAGGAGAGGGAGATGCGATGCCCATCAGTGGAGGTGAGGGGCGGGTAGGAGGAGGGAGGGGGCGGAGAGGAGGAGGGATGGGGTGGGAAGGAGGAGGGAAGGGGCGGAGAGGAGGAGGGATGGGGTGGGAAGGAGGAGGGAAGGGGCGGAGAGAGGGAGGCGGGGATGGTCGGAGGGAGGAGAGAGAGGTGGAGGACAACAGGAGGGTTGTGAGGGAGGGAATGGGGGATATTTTCCCTTGACAGAGGGGGGGTGGGGGTGGGGGTGCAGGAGAAGGTTTGACTCGGCGGCCTGTAGAGCACTCGGCACTGCTGGAGGAGCAGGTGGAGGCAGCTGAGCGGAGGGTCTTGCGAGTGCCGGGGCAGTACAGCAGCATCAGCGAGGCCGTGAGGAGCGCGCGAGCAGACGATCGTGTGCTGATCTCCCCCGGGCACTACCGAGAGTCTGTGGAGATTCCAGCTGACCTGGTGCTGGAGATCGTGGGGGACGCGGACCTTCAGGGGCTGCTGCTGGAGGGGGTGGAGGGACGTCCTGTCTTCACTCAGGTCGGGGGCTTCGTGAGGGTCAGCAAGCTAGCGATGAAGAGCTCGGGGCCAGCTGTGCTAGCTGCAGTGAGATGCTCCTCCTCCACCACCACCTCCACCTCCACGACAACCTCCTCCTCCACCTTCTCCTACTCCTACTCCTCCTCCTCCTCCCCACTCTCTTCCTCCCTCCTTGCTAGTCGTTTCTTCCTCATTCAAACGCTGATCGAGGTAGCAGAAGAATTCGATGATGGTGATTGAGGATTGCTTCATGAGTGGAGCACAGTACGGGCTCCTGGCACTAGAGGTAATTCGTCGCTCCTCCTCTTCTCCCTTCTCCCTGATCATTCCTTTGCTCTCCTCTCTTATTCTTCTCCTCACGATCCTTTTCGCCCCGACCCCTCTCCCTCCTCTCCCTCCTCTCCCTCCTCTTCCTCCTCTCATCTCCTTGCAGGGAGGAGAGGTCACTATTCGTCGCTCAGTCTTCTGCCGCTGCCGCGAGCATGGCGTCTTCCTCGGCGCGGGAGTTCGCGCTATCATGGAGTCCAGCAGCGTCTTCGAGAACGGCAGCCATGGGGTGCTGGCAGCGAAGCCCGACTGCTCGCTGCACGTGACGAGGAGCAAGCTGTCGTTCAATGCAGGAGGTGAGGGAAGAGAGAGAGAGAGGAGGGGCGAGGGAGGAAGGAGGGGCGGTGAGGGGCGAGGAGATGGAGGAGAGGAAGAAGCAGGAGGACGGGGGGGCATATGACTTGCTGGGCTGCAGCTGGGATATTCATAGACAACGGAGGTGGAGGGCTGGTGGAGGACAACGACCTGAGAAACAACACGAAGGTGACGATTTGACGTCCACTGCAGGGCTTGACGATCTTGACGTGTTATTTTTTCAGGGCCCTCTTGTCGTCGGCGTGTCTTCAGTTGGTTCGGTCGTCTTGGGATCAAACCTGACATGAGGATGTTGACCAGGAGAAGGAGCAGGAGCAGGAGAAGGAGAAGGAGAAGGAGAAGGAGAAGGAGAAGGAGAAGGAGCAGAAGGGTATGTCTGGTGAATAGGAGGACGAAGGGAGGAGGCGGAGGATCGCAACTTTATTCTTGTGTGTTTGGCATTTCAAAGGTCTTGTATAAAAATTGATAGGCGAGGAGGTTGAGGAAAGCGCGTTGTCTGCTGTCTGCCGCTCCTCCATGGCCGCCCTCGATGTTCTCGTAGTAGTGGACGCCTGCTGGAAGTTAGCTGGGAAGACAGCGAGGAGGGAGGAGAGGAAGAGGAGCATGGAGGACAGGGAGGGCTGAAGGAGGAGGGGAGGGAGGGAGGGAAAGAGAGCAAGGAGGAGCAGGAAGCGGTTGCTGAGGGGAGGATGGAGCTGCGCGCGGACAAGCAGGGAAGGGGAGGAGCTCACGGGAATGCCCAGCTGAAAGAAGGTTGGCGACCATCCTCCTCGCATGCCCCGGATGCACGCGGTCGTCTCGAGTGCTGGTAGTGAAGAGAGCAGGAGGGTAGCGGGCGCTGCTGGAGACCTGGTGGTAGGGGGAGATGTCCTGCAGGATGTGAGGCGCGGGAGACAAGGAGGTGGCAGGAGGGGAAGGGGAGGAGCTCGCGATACTGAAGACAGGAAGAAGGGAGGAAGAGGAGGAAGGATTGCGAGGGAGTTGGAGGAGGACGCCGAAGACATAGTAGGCAGGAGTCGATATGAAGATAACGAGGAAGATGGAGAGGAAGAGGAGAGGTTGAGGACAGGAAAGAGGGAGAAGAGGGAGAGGAGGGATGGGTGGAGGGAGGGAGGGAGTCGCGTGCGGGCACCTTGAGGTACTTCCAGTCCTCTCCGTCCGGGTCGCCGTACTCGTCCATCCAGGATGCGCCAGCAAGGAGCTTGTGGTAGCGGCGGAGGTCGAGGAGTGGAACAGAGCAGATGACAGCTCCGAAGAGGTCAGGACGCTGCGTGAGAGCGTTGCCGACCTGAGGACGATGGTCAGGGAGAGAAGGATAAGAGGGGAGAGGCGGAGGTGGAAGAGAATAAGTTGGAGGAGCAGGAAGGGGAGGAGGAGGAGGAGCAGGAGGGAGAGGAGGAGGGAGCAGGAGCAGGAGCAGGAGCAGAAGGAGGGGATGACTATGACATGAATGGTACCAGCAATCCTCCGTTGGATCCACCTTTGCATGCAAGCAGCTCTGGCCTGGTCACGTTCTGCTTGCTCGTAAGCTTCATATAAACCCTCTGTGTCTCCCTCCCGCATTCCTCTTCCTTCTTGTCTCTCCCTCCCTTCTCTCTCCTTTCTTCGCTCCTCTCCACTCTTCTGCTGTCTCATTCCCTCCCTCTTCCTGCTCCTCCTGCTCCTCCTTTCCTCTTCTCACCATCGCCACAAGCTCTTCTGCCACAGCAAAGAAATCTTCGTATGCTCGCTGTCGCTTCTCCCGCATGGCTGCTCGATGCCAGGCAGGGCCGAACTCTCCTCCTCCTCGGATGTTCGCAACCACGTACGCTCCTCCTTGCTCCAGCCATGCCGCGCCCACATCTGCCTGATAGTTCGGGAGCATAGAGACTTGGAAGCCTCCGTAGCCGTAGAGGATGGTGGGACGAGGAGGAGGAGGAGAGGAGGAGGAGGAGGAGGAGGAGGAGGAGGACGCAGGAAGATCTCTGGCGATGAGGAAAAAGGGTACGCGAGTTCCGTCCTTGGAGGTGGCAAAGTGCTGGGTGACCTTCATGTCACGATGTTGGAACATGTGGGGAAGACGTTTGACAACGAAAGCCTCGTCGAAGAAACTGAAAGAGGAGACAGAAAGAGGGAGAGAGGAGGAAGCAGGAGAATGAGGAACAGGAACAGGGGAGCAGGAGGGAGAGCAGGCAGAAGAGAAAGTGATGGAGAAGGACAAGGAAGAGGAGGCAGAGGAGGCCGATAATGAACAAGAGGAGGGGGGGGGGGGAGAGGCGACAAGGTCAGAGTCTCAGTTGAACGCAGTTGTCCTCCCCTCCCCTCACCTGGTTTTTGACGACAGCAGGTCGTTCACGTGCAGGAGGGAGAGCGAGGTGGGCTCGATGTAGGAGGACCGAGTCAACCAGACCTGATCCTCGTCTTCTCCCTCCACTGCCATGACGTTGATGGTTGAGATGTCGGGAGATGACTGATGTAGCTCGCACACCCATCCGTCCTGCTCGCAAGCGACAACAGTTCAGAAAGAGAGAGGGGGGAGGGAAGGGCGCTAGCAAGGACAAGGAAGCGAGCGAGCGAGGTAGGAAGGGAGAGAGGAAGGGAGGGAGGGAGGGAGGGAGGGAGGGAGGGAGTGAGGGAGCGGGCGGACGGATGGACGGATGGAGGGAGGGAGGGAGGGAGGGAGGGAGGGAGGGAGGGAGGGAGGGAGAAGAAGGCAGCTCCTTCAGATGAGGACCAACGAGCAGTAGGATCTCCCCGAATCCCTCCTCTCTCCCTCCTCACCTCCTGCATCTTCCATATCCTTAGGGAGCTCTTGACTTGATCGAGGAGGGTGAGGACGAGGAAGCCCTTGGTCTTGCACCAGCCTTGCAGGAACGTCGTGTCGCTCGGCTCAAACAGCAGCGTGAATTCACTCCGCTGCGGCTCCTGCAGGAAACTTTCCAGCTGCACCGCCACCAGCGATCCCTGCTTGAACTTGTACCGCCCAACCTCCCAGTCGTCCTTGACCAGCACCAGCAGGAACGAGCCGATGCAGGATACAGAAGCGGTCTCTGGTACCTCCAGCATAGTCCACCCCTCCTCCTCCTCCTCCTCCCCCTTCCCTCCCTCCTTGCTGTCTCCTCGCATCCTCCTTACGTATCTGACGGAGGAAAAGAAGCTCTTCTGACATACCCGCCACTCCAACCTTCTCTCCCCGTGTCTGGTCACGTAGGAGGAAGCCGAGACGCTGCTGTCCTCCACCTCGAACACCACCCTTGCCTCCTCCAGCCGCTCTCCCCTTCTCCACCTCCGAATCTGCGCAGGGTACCCGCTGCGAGTGACGGACCGTTCTCCTACTTGAGTCCCGATGAGCAACGTGTCCTCATCAACATGCGACAGGTACGTCTTCCCGCTCCCCACAAAAAAGCCTCCTTCCTCGGGGCGAACGAACCTCCTCCTCCTCATATCAAACTCTCTCACCTCTACCGCGTCTGTTCCTCCTAGCGACAACTTAACGATCACACGCTCGCTCTCCCTCCCTCCCCCAAGATCTGCAACCTGCGTCCCCCGCCACACCCAGGACTTGTTCTCCTCCTTGCAAAGCTGGTCTAAGTCGATTAACGTCTCCCACTCCGGGGCATCCTCCTTGTATCCGTCCACGCTCACCCTCCTCCAGACTCCTCGCACGTTCTTCTCGTCCCTCCAGAAGTTGTAGAGGAAGTTTCCTCGTTTGCTCGCGTAAGGGATGTTGTCTTTGCTTTCATAGATTGACATCAGACGGTCAAACAGAGGTTGATTCGTCTCTTTCACAAACTGCTCCATCGTCTCCTCGTTCCGCTTCCTCACCTGGGCAACCACCAGTGTCAAGTTCGTGTCCATCATTATCATCATGACCATCATCATCATCATCATCACCACCACCACCACCACCATCGCCATGCAGTGCAGTGCAGTGCAGTAGATGTTCATTACCCATGCCATGGCTTGCTCAGAAGAGATCTCCTCCAGCCACAAGTCGTCTGCTGTCCTCACAGGAACGCTGCTCGACATCCTCGAGCTCTGCAGGGAGGGCAGGAAGATCCTCTCCTTGAGCTTCAGCTTCAGCGGGAGTGCACGAGTCGCCCTCGCCCTCTGCTGCAAGGGAGTTTGAAGGCTGCGACCCGGCATGAAGTGCATGGTGGAGGTCTTGGAGGACATGAGCATGTTCATGGGGAGCTGAAAGAGCATGGTGTCTCTGCGAACAAACTCGTCCATGTCCAACTTAGGCAGCTTCCCGAGCTCCAGGAAGACCTCTCCTTCGGACCAGGTGGACTCTAGGAGGAGGGCGACGCATAAAGCGCGCATACCCGTACGAGCCGTCCGGGAGCTGATCACAGACATGTTCTACAGGAAGCAGAGCAGCGAGTCTGCTAGTCAAGAAGTCAGGCAGTTGTACATGAAAAATAAGGCAACGAAGCCTCCAAGTAAGTCCAACGACCCATTCGAACCTTGTGACAAAACTTCCAACCTTTCTGTCCCCTCATCCTCTCTTCTACTCTTCATCTCCATTCCCGTCTTCCCTTCATCAGAAACCTTCCTCTTTCGATAATCTCTACCTTCCTCGTTCGATCTTCTCTACCTTCCTCGTTCGATCATCTCTACCTCCTTCTCCTCCCCTCAGTTTTCTCTCCACCTCGCCATTTCCCCAGGGACCCTGCAAGAGCCTTTCGGCCCCCCGGAATCCTGTAAAAGTGTTGGCTAAAATCTTTACTCACCACCACGGATCCTTCCGGGCAAGGAGAATTTCAGATAATTTCGGAACCGTTGCCACTCAGTGACTCGGTCACCGGGGCGGCGTGACGTCGCCGGGCCCGGAGAGCCCCGGCTCGGAGTGGCGACTTGAATCAGTGATCGGACCCTGACCGACAAGTCACGACTGAGCCCGGCGGCTCAGCAGCCGCCGCGTGACTGCGCTGCGGCTACCGTACTGAGCACTGCCGGCGTAGTGCGGCCGCGCGGCAGCCTCGGATAAGATTCAGTCACGGCGCCGCGCCACCGTTCGCTGATCGAGCCTGCGGCCATTGAACGACTAGCCTGCCGGAAGTTCACCAGTACACCGTCGTCCCGGGTTCGCCGGGACGCCGTTGGAAGCGGCCTGCCAGGCTGCCTGCCAGCTGACACACGGTGACTCTGTGAGTCGGACGGACCGTACGGTGCCTCAGTGCCGCGCCCCGTGCGTCGGATCGGCCCGGGCCGCCGGACCGACCGGGGCCGTGCCGTACCGGCGGCGCAGTATCATTCGCCTGTCAATGATTGACTCGATCCGATCGGGTCACCTACGAGAATGCCAGGGCTGGTCTATCACGGACTGTCACAAGTTCAATGGAGAGGTGACCGTCAACGGGCCGAAATCACGAACTTCGGAACTTCGGAACTTCGGAAGGTAGAGTCAGCTAGTCTGGCACTGAGATCGATCAATCCGATCTAGTTGCGAATGAAGAGCGTCTGCTGATCTGACTCATTCTATTGTTGTAACTTGGATAATTGACATGGGAGAGTGCTAGAGCGAACACGGGAAAGATCATTCAAACTATTTCGATGCCGCGATGGCCTCTAGCAGGATATCCAACGTCTCTGGAGGAGGCAGAAGCATGTCATCACAAAGTCACAGCAAGGAGACATGTCACCTTTCTCTGAAATGAAGCGAGCCATGTGAGTGAGCCTCTGCTGTGGGGCGTTGTGAGGAGACGACTTTGTCGTTTCTGGTGCTTTGGTGTTGGCTATTCGAGCCACGAGGTTGGAGTATGAACCGCAAATCGACCACCTCCTCTGCTTCCCCTTCATGTTCGATTCTTCTCCAGGAAGATGAATTACTGACCCTCCTCTTGGCCGGCATTGCTGAGTATTGAAACTCTCTGGCCGACTGTCACTTGCAGAAAAACTCTCAGGCTGCGATGCAACGTTGCCATGCGCTCCGTCTTCTGGCAGGTATTCTGCTATGTTGAGGTTTGGAGGCCATTCAAATACATGCATCGCTCGCGATGTGCACGGATCAATCAAGACCATGTCTGAATCAACGCTCAATCTCTTTGACGACTTCCATTCCACCATCTCTGCCGCACTCATATGATACCTCCCTTCTCTCTTGCTGGTGATTTTCTTATCCTCCTGCCTTCTTTCAATCCATCAGTCACTTGTCACTTGGTACTTCTCCTGCGCATGATGGGCGTTCATCTCTTGTCAACTGTGCATGCTCCGCTCAGCCCTTGTACGATCGGGTGCGCGGTTTCGCTACAAAGCCATCAAAATGCACTTCGACCAAAAAAATGTACTACCACCGACCCCCAGCCGGTTCTCGGTAAAGGTGACCGTTCTCGGAATTCAAGTGCTTCAAGGGTGGGTACTTCACTTAATATCTGAATAGTCTTTTGATGGGTCCCAGGGTGGGTCCCAAGAGAGCGGGTAGGGTACTTGTTAAGACCGGTTATACTACCCACCCCTCTTAAAATCATATCTTTACTCGCCGCATGAGTCAACGAGGACCAGTCTGGTACTAAATATTTACTCAAGTCGGATAATTCCGCTCCCGACCCCGATTCCGATAGTGACCCGTTTTTACTCAAAGTGACCCGTACTACCGTACACTATTGAGATATGACTCTTCATCCCCCTCATTCCTCTACTACCGTACTGTACTAGCGCCTACTCGGCAGCCTACTCGGAGGCCGGCGGCCGCGCGCGGTAAGCCCGTCAGTCACGGTATGACTCGGACTCGGGGGCCCCGGACAAGTTACTAAGTTAACAATGTCAGGCCCGGGAGCTGAGCCTCGGAGGCCCAGCCGCGCAGTTCCGGAGTGACTCGCCGGATCGGACCGGCGGCACTGCACCGGCGGCACCGTCCGACGGCCACGGTCACCGTCGGACGGTGCCACGGTGCCACGGTGACGGTGCCGACCGTGGCACCCGAAAGTTCTCACACTGGCTGAGGCTACTGAGACGGCAACTTATATGATAGTTACGACGGTCTGGCGGGCGGGCCCCCGCGCCGACTCGGAGACTCACTGGCTCAGACTCAGTACACGGTACTCCGAGTCTTCCCTGCCCCGTAACTTGTCGACGGTCACAGTGCAGCCTGACGGTGTTTAACTGATTCAAGTAAGCTTTCAGACGGTGCTGAGTAAACTTTAGTAAGTTCAGGGGACCGGGAGTTCAGGGGAGTGCTGGGCGGTGGCCGCGCCCGCCATGTCCGTGCGGTCGAAACTTGAAAACTGTACGGTCACCACTCCGACAGTAGCCCAGCAGCCGGGCAGGCTAGGCACTAGCCGATCGCACTGGCGGTACCGTCGCTAATGTATCAAAGTACGATGTTGACAGTCACCTCATTATCTCGGCCGCATGTCTTGCATGGGTAGATTTCTGTGAGTGAACGCCTGGCAGTGCGATGCCATGATGGGAGTTGGACCCACTCTAACCGCCGAACTTCGCAGTGATGGTTGTAATTTGCGACAAGAACCCCGAAGGTTCACACAGTTCACTTCAAGTTTCAACTATCTTGTCAGATACTATTCTACAAAGAAGGATACGGACAGGGGCTGCCATGCTGTCTGTCATAGACATCATGAGCTTGATATCATCATCCTCTTCTACCATGATGCAGCTTCCATCATCCTGCTCCTCCTCTCCTGTGCACTCACGGGTGCTGCATCTATCCTGCAGTCGCATGTTGTGAGCGCCCCGCATGCTGTACCCATTCTGGATAAGGTGAAACCCTGCCTTCAGTGCTTTTTTGCCGTTGCATCCCTCGAGGCTTTCTCCCTCGCTGCCTTCACTGCTCTCAGCACCATCGCTCCTCCTGCACTCTCCTCCCTCGGGCTTGACTCTCCTCCCGGCTCCCCGCCGGTGAGGGAGGAGGCGGCCTCGGCTTCCTCGCGGCGACGCCCTCGCGTCGCCTTGACTCTCCGATGCAGGCGAGACACGGTGGAGCTCTTGCATGACCATGTCGGCTTGGAGGCGATGCTGATGCTACGACGAGCGGGGGGCTGGAGGGGGGTCTGCATGGTCGCGGGAAGCTGGGGAGGGAGCGGAGTTTACGGCGAAGGAGTTTGGGGGAAGAAGGGGAGGAACGGAGGAGGTTGTACAACGGTATCGTGACGGCCACATGACTTCAGTCACGAGGTCAGGTAATTCTCGTGGTAAAAGGATTTCCTCGGATACGCTGACGTCAGCCTTGTGATGTCACATGCCCTGTCTGTCACGGCATCGTTTGGATATCGTGACAGCCACATCGAACGCAGTCATGACCGCTGGCTGTCATGCCTTGGTGCTTCCTGTTGAGTTTCTGTCTCGTCACTACTGGATGTCAAGACAACCTGCAAACATCAAGGGCGCGGCAGTTTTGTCGATCACGTCCAGCTTCGCATTCGTGCACTATATTCACTTTATTGATTGATTGTACACTCATTCGACACCAAAACATCCAGCTCACTTTAGGCATGATTGAAGTCGATGCCATCCTCTACTACCTTGCTATCCCCTTCCTCTCCCACGCCGCGTGACTTTGAGCCTCCTGGCACATCGCGATTCGATCTTGCATGTTATGCAGCTTGAAGCATACATACACCGCATGCCGGAGCTCCGTGAAATCAACAAGCTTGAGAGCCTATCTCGGATAAGGTGGACAGCGACCTACAAGAAAGAAGGGAAGCAACCAACAGAATTCACCACAAACAGCTTGTCCTTATCTCCTTCCCTGCGTCGTTGCATCCCTCGAGGCTTTCTCCCTCGCTGCCTTCACTGCTCTCAGCACCATCGCTCCTCCTGCACTCTCCTCCCTCGGGCTTGACTCTCCTCCCGGCTCCCCGCCGGTGAGAGAGGAGGCGGCCTCGGCTTCCTCGCGGCGACGCCCTCGCGTCGCCTTGACTCTCCGATGCAGGCGAGACACGGTGGAGCTCTTGCATGACCATGTCGGCTTGGAGGCGATGCTGATGCTACGACGAGCGGGGGGCTGGAGGGGGGTCTGCATGGTCGCGGGAAGCTGGGGAAGGAGCGGAGTTTACGGCGAAGGAGTTTGGGGGAAGAAGGGGAGGAACGGAGTATCGTGACTAAAGTCGTGATAGCTAGAAGCACGGACACCATCGGTCACGATTTGGACACGTTCCAGCTTCCAGAAGTTCTAAAACATGCTGTAGTAAATAATATCCTAACTTGCGGCACGGACATATTGAGTTCTAAGTTTTTACAGGTAGGAGAGCAACGGTGCTACAGCAAGAAAAGCCTGTTTGAGCAGCGAGTCAAGCAAGACGGCTCCAACAAGTCGCAAGATACTTGTACCTGCAAGATGATGTTGACAGAGAGTGAAGACGCCTGTTGAGATATCAGCTGCATGCGAGCTAGGAGCACCTGTCAGACTTACAGCGCTGAGCACCGTGTTCTTCTTTTTGTTGCAGTCATACGACGTCTTCGAGATGGTAGCGTTCACAAAGTCCACGTACTGACATGAGCATGGTCAGAAGCCGAGCAAAGTCGCATGATCTCTACAGCAGCCGTTGCCGTCAACACGGAGTGTCGCCCGACGGCGCCGCACCTCCAGTCAGACCTGCCCGCCACTAAGACGCACTCGCCCCCCTCCTTCGTCTCAGTACTGTGGCCATTCCGAGCCCAAGATCACCAAGCCGACAATCCTCCATCCTGTGTTGCTCTTCCTGTCATCAGCTCTGTAAGATCTAGATCGCATCAAGGAATACTTCACCATGCTACCGGGCTGCCGCTGTCACCATTGCAGCTGTCGTATCCTCCCTGCCAAGCTTTAACCGTGCGAAGGCGCTCGAGTCGCCGAGCACCTGATCCGCCATAGCGCCGCCCGCGCAGATGACATGCCCGTACTCAAACAAGTTCCTGAGTCATTCAGTCAGCTGCATTTTCCCGCATGTGCACAACTGACTTGCAACGCCCTGCTTGACCACAATGTCCACTGCTGACCTGAAAGGCATGTCAACACGGAGTCTGAATGATTTCAAGACATCTCACCCCATTGTTCACAGGATTGACATCTCTGCACTTCTGCATGGAGCTGACGGGAACTTCCAGTTTCTGCGTCCATGTGTCACCCGATCTGTCTGCATGCTCCTGGTAGAGCGAACTTGTAGCACTGAAGGAACGCATCTGCCATCACCACATGTACTTCCCCAGCCCATCATAACAACTTTTTCCTGGAGGTCAATCGATAAAGTGAGAAATTCTGGTTCCTTGCAAAGGATGCACAACCTTGGAAATGTCAAAGGGAAACAGCGGCACAGGGATGTTTGTTCTGCTGCCATCAATCTCTCCTATCCATTCCTTGGGCATGGCTGAATCCAACAGTCACTTCATCTTTGCCAATGCTTCCATAATTTACACACCTTTGTCCACTTTTAGCATAGCGATATCATGGTAATCGCAGCAAGGATCGAAACATGGATTTGCTACGATCTCCTTCACTATCCTTTGTTGGCAGGGATAAGACGTGGAATGCAGATCTGAGCATCCAAAGTAAACGCGTTGGGAGTCAGAGGCCGGAATGATCTGTGTCTCTGCAGCATTCAGCACGCAATGGGCCGCTGTAAGAATCCACCTGGTTTGAGGTGTAAAAATGAGTGAGGGGAACGTAAGCATCAGGGTTGGAAGACAAACAGTATTCACATCCAACACATTGACTTCTCTCAGTCAATCCGGTTCCTCCTGCCTCCATCTCTCTCTCCACCACTTCATTTCCTCTCGTTCCTGCTTCGCCCTCGGCCCGTTCGCATTCCTAGTCAGGCCACCTCCCCTCCATCGATCTTTCTCTCCTCATAGAGCATCGCTGTTGCCGTCTGAGCATGCAAGTTCTTGTCATACCATTCAGAGATAATCGCTCCGCCGCAGCGCGGGAGGGAGCCGCCCAACATGGCGATCCAGGGGAAGTTCTGAAGCCTTTCTTCCTCCTGGAGTTGCACGCAGTCAGGATAGGGCACATCATTGCAGGAGTGTTCTCACAGACACCGCAGTGCCTCCTATGATGCGCAAGTTTGAGCTCTTGGACTCAGAGACCTCTTCCTTGTTTCGATGTTGTCTACTGACTCGCTCAAACCCTGCAGGGAAACTTCATCAGAAAATGAATTATTGCCAACAATGTCGGGGATGAGCTTGACAGTTGACATGAGTGCCAAACCATGAAATCCACATGCAGTATTCTTCCACTTTCAGTCTGGGAGTGAGGGGGGAGCACTTGTGCTTGATCCAAGACATCAAATTAAAAGCAACCCCGTTTGACGTTTGTTCTCCCAGCCATCAAGGATACAAAGATCTCCAGAACAAGGTTGTCGAGCACAGGAGCACACACAGGGATCATTGCGCTCCTTGTCTCTCCCTTCTTACCGGCTGCTTCGCCATCTCCCGACATTGAGACCGTTGCCGCCGCAACCATCACAGCCATGGTAACCCACGACCGCATGATGAGAAAGGAGGAGCGAAAGGGGTGTGCCCAGTTTCACTTCATGAGGGGGGGTGGGGGTGGAAGAAAAGGATATCCATGATACGAGTCTTGAGGGGACTACAGCACAAAATGAGGGGGGTAGGGGTAGTCACATGGGGGTAAGGGGGTACGTTTCTTTTAAGCTAGAAAAATAGAGTCGGTACTTTCAGTGAACGGTGCGGCGAAGCCGGCCGCCGGGCCCCGGCCCGCCCGGCCCATTTTTAATGGTACTACCGTACGGTAGCCTAGTAGGGCCGGGCCCGGTGCTCACGGTCCAGCCCGTGGGGCTTTACTCAAAGTTAAGTTAAAAAATCAGTACGAGGACAATCATCAGGCCCCCTGAGAGTAGAGGAGGCTGGCCTGCCTACGGTACGGCAGTACGGTCACTAGCGTCTCCTCAGGCTCTCAGAGCCTCTGAGCCTCGTCGGGTTCTAGTTGAGCCACAGAACGGTCGAAGGATGATAGCGAAGAACTGAATGAAAGATGACTGGAAGATGATGATGGTCACGGTGACGAGGACAAGATCAAGTTAATGTTACTGATTTGAACCTGTGGAGAGGTGGATCTGATTACAATCAGTGACAAGCCGAGGAGTTCTCAAAAGTATTAACTGAGAGTCACCTGCCACCTTGCATTGATTTCTTGATGAGAGAAAGTTTCCTTGTTCATCCCAAGTTGGGACTTCGTCGAGTACTAGCGAATGTCGGATCCTTGCAAGACGCTAAACGAGAGCAAAACATGAATGTTACTTCCCAGCTGACATCCAGCTACTCTCACGCCCTTGCATGACCAGTAGCTGAGGGCCGTCCGGTCGTCAGACAGCATCTAGAGCTCGCACGTGCATTCCTGCCGTGACATCTCTGGACTGTCCTCAGGTCCTCACCTGCAGCGGTGAGAGGAGGAGCTGTAAGATGGCAAGCTTGTCGGGAGACGAACGACAACTTGGCGTCTGGATAGCAAGAGCCAAGACGTCGATGCAGGAGGCTACAGAGCTGAAGAATGCCCTCAAGAGCCACAAGGAGGAAGCTCTGGCTCTGCGGCAGAAGGCTGAGGCTGCTGAAGAAGCGATACAAGTGCTTTTGAACCAGGAGAAGCAAGTGAGTTGTTTAGAGGTCGATTGTCCGTGTTTGATGGTGTTCTGCAGAGAGAAGAAGAAACGTCTATCTTTGCTGACTGGAATGGGGAGCTTTATCACATACTTGCGATCCAGAAACAGATGTTGAAGAATAAGGTGTTAGCGCATCTTTGCAGCTCCTATGAATAATGATGTCTGCAGACGCAAACTCAAGTGAGCTTCTTCAAGATTATGAAGAACAAGCAAAAGGCGTTAAGAGTGATACAGGCCCTCAAGGAGATCAAAGATAGCAAGAAGCGACAAAGGTCCGTGGACTTTATATTGCCAGGCCATAGAAGAGATTACAAAAAGTTTTGACAGTGTTGAGCAGCAAACTGGCAAGAATCATTGCAAGACGGAAGCGTTTCAAGACCTTGCGTCGCGTCATTGACTCTTGGGCATCATGTACTCGACGACAGAAACAGGTTCATATCTCAGATGCCTCACATTGTTGTCATGCAATTTTCAGATCGGCCGCCGCAAAGAAAATCTTGCAAAGGCTAGGAATGGAACGATCTTGTGTAACCACATGTCAAAGTGGTCTCAAGTGTGCTTCTTTCACCAAAAGATTGAAGACCAAGTGCTTTTTCGATTCAAACATTTCGTCAGAAGACGAGTCTTGTTTTCATGGAGAAATGGACTGGCAAAACATCATTGTTTTTCAAGGCTGCTGTGGAGAATGTTTCATCGTTGGAAAACGCTCTACATGAGGCACAGGCTGATGACGGAGAGCGAGCTCTGGTTTCTCGACAGGCACGAGTTCCTGACAGGCAACCGAGTGTTCCTTGCTTGGAAGTGCCTCGGGCAGGAATTGGTGAAGACGAGGGTGAGGTTCGAAAAGTGTCGAGGATTGATCAGACGGTCCTGGTACAGGCTACTCTTGCTGTGCTTTGGAGTTTGGCTGTCTGCCATGGAGACGGCAAGGCTGATCAGCGCGAAATGGATGATGAAATGTAACAAGATCGTTCCTGCTCAGATGTACACTGCCTTTCTGTCATGGAGATGCAGGAACAAGCACAAGGTGTTGGGGAGGATTACCGTCATGACGAAGAGTACAGGCCGGCGTGCCCAGTGCACTGCAAGGCATTTCTCCTGCTGGGTTGACATGATATCAATCAAAAGAAAATGCCTTGATCTGAAGAGGGAGGTATGTGAACAATCAGCAAGGCGAGCTTTACAAGGAGTTCTCAACTGCTGGAAATACCTCCTCCACCTGGCTACTCGTCGAAGTTGGGTGGATCACAAGCTGCATCTCGCCTGCAGCGATGTGCTCCGAACTTCTTTCGTCCTCTGGACGTTCGGTCACCTACAGCTTTGCCTCAAGATCAGCAGGTACAGCTTGAACAAGCTTCGGCGTAAGTCAGCCCTGTCGATGACTCTTGACCGGTGGATGTCCAGCACCTGCTGTGCTGACTACCTGCAAGTATGTTCGCTCGCCTGGTCCAGGGCCGCCCGGGCCCTCCTCTCGTTTCGGGCCCTCCTCTCATGGAAGTTGGTTCTAGAGGACCGGCAAAGGAAGCATGAGAGGAGGCTGATGGATCAGGTTATGGGCCTCAAGCTGATGATGTTGTCGTGCTGGAAACTCTTTGCGGCGACGTGCAAGACTGAAAGGGCTGTGGTGGACAACTTTCAGTCGCTCCTCATGAGGAAGGAAGCTGCTCTTATCTTGCAATGCTGGAGGGGCTGCGTGCTGAAGCAAGGCTCCAACTGTCTGAGCTCCCCCGACTACCAGAACGAATAAAAGCGTCATGAATCTTTTCTTTCCTCTGGCACAGGCTTCAGGTCAATCATCAGGTTGTACTGCCTTGTCCCGTGAACTCTTGACATCTCCGTCACGCAAGAGACTTTCCCTGATGGCAAGAAGGAGGGCAACACCTCTTCGGGGAACATAACTGCGCCGTCATTATTGATGAGTGCATCCATCACATCAACACACTTACCCAAAGTTTGCTTCCAGTGAGTTTCCGGTTTGGACGGAGAGGTGTCCAAGACGCTGTTCGAGCTGTCCTCGCTCACCTCGAACCAGATGCAAGCTCCTCGCATGGTCTGGTTCACTGCGAAAGTCATGCTCTTAGCAATCTTCCGCACCTCTGCGGGTGTTATCTTGTACATGTCACACTCCCACAGGACTTGAGGGAGTTCGATCACGTCAGTCTCGTCCACTCTGACGATCATCGGTGAAGACACCATCTGCTCTACTGCGACCGGATGGACAGCATGCAGCGTTAGCCCCCAGGTCTCCTCCGGGTCCGACCAGAATTCAACCTTGTCTCGCCAGACCCTCTCAGCAGAGACAGGCGCCAACAGGATCCTAGCGGAACTCGGAAGCATCGTCCCCTCCTCCTTCAAGAAGTTGTCCCTTGCAAAGATGACCGAGTCAATCATCGACTCGTGCAGCAGGTAGTGGCCCATCCACTCGCTCACGATGAGATCAACTTTCTCTGGGAGCTTCACGTCCTCTATCCTGCTGTGCAGCACGTCTACGATGTCGCTCATCCCGTTGTCGAACACGTTCATTTGCGCCAGGGAGGCCATTCTGCTGCTCTCCACAGCGTACACTTTCCTCGCTCCTGCTCTTGCCGCAAACATGGCAAGCAGGCCAGTCCCAGTCCCCACATCCAGCACAACCATTCCCGGACGCTCCTTCAACACCTGCTCGATGGCATTTCTATACCACTGGCATCGCTCACGGTCCCGCAGCATGGACTGGTGTACACCAAGGTCGCAGTAGCTCTTGGTATAGGGATCCTCCGCGCTAGGTGCAGCTCTTGAACCTGATCCTCTGTCATGAATGCACAGCTCCATGCTGCGTTGCGAGCGCTGGAGCTCCGCAAAACGCTGGGCCGACTCTCTGTCAAGGAATTCAAGTCTTGGGAGCTTCCCAGCGACGACCAGCCGATCGAGCTCCTTCTGCGTACACGCATTCTTGCTCCTCTTGTCTTCCACGAACCATCTGGACACAATCTTCCCGTCCTCAAACGCCTCTTCCTCGCCCACCACTCTCAGTACTAGTCGGTCATGCCCTGGAGGCTGACTGCCCCGAGCATGGCCGCTCGTGTATGGCGTCGAGTCGTCAACGAGGAGGAGGAGGAGCATGATGTAGCTCGTCGAGGGACACAGCAAGGAGCGTCTCCAGCAATACATTCTGAGCATGATGCGGCTCGTCGCCTCTGAGGCGGACCGCAAATTGGTATGCGTGCCAGGCCCGGGCCCGGGCGTCGCCCGGCCCGCCCGCCGGCCCCGCCGCGCGGTACTGTGAACTGACGGTCCGATCACCGGTCGCCGGCCTGGCCGGGTCGGACCGTACGACCCGGCCAGGCCGCGGGCAAGTGAAAGAATGTCACGGTTACTATGATGGGTACCGGCAGCCTAGGGTTCCCGGAACTCGGAGTTCCGCTACGGAGTACTGCCAGGACGGACTCCCCGGACTCATGGGCACCGGCAGTCACGGTAGCCCGGCCCCCGGGCGCTGCGCGGCGGCAGAGCGGCAGTTTACCGTACTACCGTACTAGGGCAGTAGTAGGGGATATGATGATGGACAGGGGTTACTATCAAAAATCACTGAGTAGTACGCACTATTGTTTCCCACGCCTCATCTGTACTGATTGAAAGTACACTGCTACGGTGGTGGATTTCTCGGGGCAAATTTCAAATCACTTTGTACAAAGTCAGAAACTAGCAACCTGGGCCCTGAGACGGCGGGAAACCGGGGGAGTGTGAGAACAGATATTGCCTCACTGATTGAAGTTTACCACAGCGACTCCGTCACGAAGTTACTACCGTGATGGTCTGTTGCACTACTGAGTGACCCGAAGTTGAGTAAAGTTTCAGAGGTTTTTTTTTTCCGAGGCTGGGAGAAGTGAACAACATTGGAGGAGGGATGCAGGGGGGGTGGATGCAAGGGGGATGCAGGGGTGGAGGTGGGTGGGGTAGGATCGGTGATCCGAAGTTGATATCGTCACGGTAAAGAAGTTGCTGGCATAGCTTCACGCTCCGAAGGTGGGTAGGGCCGCGCCGGCCAGACGCCATGGGACGGGCAAGAGCTTCCAACGTCAACAAGAGGCTCGGAATCTTGTTTGCTCGAGCCGTGAGTTGCTGCTTTCCTGTCTGTTGCTCCATCTTGCACAAATCTAGTCAACAGCTGACCGTGCTGTGCGTTACAGGTGACGGCAGATGTGCAGGAGGATGGTAAGTTTCGATCTTCCTACACCCTCGACAGAACTGGGAAACTGTCTCCATTCAAAGCATTCTCTTCATTCATGCCATCAGCCATAAGGAATGAATGCAGCCATGCGGGCAGGCAAGGACTCACGCTGGTGGAATACAACAAGTGTTTGGAGCAGAATGGTTTCCTCAAGTCAAGGTCAAGAAGTCCATTCCTGGAAGATTTAGAAATTTCCCAGAGCAAACATTCTCGAGGTGTTTTGTCTAAGATCTTGATTTTTTTTGCCTCACTGTTTTGGCTGCAGGAATGAAATATTTCTTTGTATTGAAGCGATGGCTGGATCCAAAGGATCCCAATGATTTGAAACTCCTCGATGCAGGATGGGAAGTTCTGAAATGCTTCTGTCCCATGCAAGATCTTTCAGAGCTAAAAGTTAAATTCCTGCTCGTGTGCCAGCACTTTCATGATGCTTGGGAAGAAGTACGCGCTTCGCAAGTCGCCCAGCAGCCATCGGAAATAGAGCAATTGCATGATTCTGAGTATGATTCAACTCAGGCCTCAGATCAAGATTCTCTTTTACCACCATCAACATCCTGGTCACCCGTCTGCATGATGAGCAATTTTTGGAACTGTCGCTGGGAACAACATCACACGCAACATTGCGGGAGTGATACAGAAGAAACGATTTCACACTTCTCTTGCGGTGAGTTGGCATCGGACTGTGCAACACTTGAGATACAGAGCTGCTCTGAAACAAGTTCGAGAAGTGCCTGTGAGGAAGAAGATGACAATCAAATCCAATTTTTCGAGATGCAAAGGGGATGGCACCCGCCAGATATCAACTTCGATCTGAGTACTGCCGAAAGCAGCGGAGGGTTGACTCAAGAGCGGCGGCTTGCTATCAATCTTCCAGTAGCTCAGGATCTGTGTGACGGAGGCTGTGAAATCTGTGCCATGAGCATCATGCCAAATGACCGTTGAACCTTGCCACGATGCTCCGGAGGCTGCCACAGTCTCTTGATGTTTTGAGTTTCGAGCGACTTGGCGGCGACTCCTGCGAGCCAGTAGCTACACGGTGATGATCATACAGTAGTGATAAGATAAACTACTTAACTTGAAGCGGCCCATTGAACGATGACCGTTCAACCGTTCAAGCACGCCGCCGCGCCGCCGCGACGGTGACTGGCAGCTCCGGGCGGAGTCCGGCCCGGGGCCGCCCGGCCGACCGTTCGGGGGGCCGCGTCCCGGAGAGCGATAGTACGGTCCCGGAGTCCGGGCCCGGGGATCGCCGGGGCCGGACGCTACTAACGGTGACCGTGCCAGAGGGGCCTGACTGACTCGCGCGGCGCGCCCCCGCGGCGGCGCCCGGTACTAGGCTAGCCTGAGGGCCTACGGTAGGCCGGGCGGCGGCCGGGCACAGCCGCGCCACGAATCTACCCGTGCGCCGGGCCCGCGCGCCGGCCCGCGCCCGCGGCGCTCACAGAGTCAGCGGCCGGCACTACATTAGCCAGGCTAGTACCCGGCCCCGCCTGGGGCCCGACTGACTCGGCCGCTCAGTCGGTGGCAGTGGCCGGCCCCCGGGGCCTGGCGGCCTCCGAGCAGTGGCCCAGATGAGTGGGGATGAGGGTATCCTGGTCTAAATTCGGCGCCATGTTCGAGGTTGCGGTGAAGTTCCAGCAGCTGCTGACGGATTGCGCTCCTGGGTAAGACGACGCGTGACAAGCAGAGGAACATCGGATGCGAGGAGAGAGGCGAAGAAGGAGAGAGTGGTAGGAGAGTGGTCAAGGAAGAGGGATATAGAGGGAGATAACTGGCGCGTATGGAGGAAGGGGAGGGAGGGGGGTAGGGGGCAGACAGAGCTCTCTCTCTCTCTCTCTCTCTCTCTCTCTCTCTCTCTCTCTCTCTCTCTCTCTCTCTCTCTCTCTCTCTCTCTCTCTCTCTCTCTCTCTCTCTCTCTCTCTCTCTCTCTCTCTCTCTCTCTCTCTCTCTCTCTCTCTCTCTCTCTCTCTCTCTCTCTCTCTCTCTCTCTCTGTCTCTCTGTCTCTCTGTCTCTCTCTCTCTCTCTGTCTCTCTCTGTCTCTCTCTCTGTCTCTCTCTGTCTCTGTCTCTCTGTCTCTGTCTCTGTCTCTGTCTCTGTCTCTGTCTCTGTGTGTATTGGGGTGGGATTGGAGGAAGAAAGGAAGCAATCAAGGAGGTTAGAGATGGTGAGGTTGGAAATCATCTCCTTTCTTTCCTGCCTTTTGCAATAAGCGTGAAGCATTTTGATAAGCAACAAAGAATCGATTGTGATGTTGGACAAACAGGATGCACCATAATGAGTCGATGAGAGGGGTCGGCGTGACCTGCTACTCTCACAATGGAAAGGACCTCTACTGCAACAAGCCCGCACAAGGTTTGTAGATGGCATGCTTCTTGTTATGCATCTCTTTGAAGTAGTCATAACAACTCTGGGAGACACTTGTTGTTGGACATGTTTCCAAAGATGATGCGATTCGTTGAAGGGACTTGCTGGACCACTGGAGGCTGGTGCCCTCCGGCTGACGAGAACGACGAGATCTTGTCGACACAAGGGGTGACCGATCATGAACTGAATCGCAAGGATGATCGTTACTTACCCCATGCGCAGGTCACTGCCTTCTGTGGTTTGACTCCTTTGAGCTTCAGCGGATCTGCTTTTGCAGCTCCAGCTGCCTCCGCTAGCGCGAGTAGCTCGGCATCGACTTCCACAGCAGATACGGGGGCCGGTGCTGCAGCTGCTAGCTCTACTGCAGGGACAGCATCTGCCTGAAATGACAGTCACAGCGTACCGAACTAGAAGGAGTGATTGTGCTTGGCATTAGGTTGATACGAAGATTGTAAACTTAGTCGAAATGTTCCTATATAGCCTCATCGTCCTTCGGCAGACCTCAGTTACTGCCGAATCAACCCGTTATCTGCCAGAAAGTACATACCGTACTATCGAGTATCACCAAGGACTCCGGGGAGTCCGGCCGGCGCCGCCGGGCGGATGTGACTCGCCGCCGCCGCCGGGTGGCCGGCCCCGGGCACTGCCACATCCGAGTCACTGAGGCGGGGCCGTACTACCGTACCGTAATCGGACCGATCGGACGGTACGGTGCCCGCCGCCGCGGTCGGCTGACTGGCCTGACTCTGTCCCAGCCTTGAACTTAACTTCGGCGGCCGGGCGCGCCCCGGCGGCCGCGACTCCCGGGGCCCGGCCCCCCGGGCCCGCCCCACGGCCCCCCCCCGGCGCCACCAGCCCCGGCCGCGCCAGCCCGGTGCGGCCGACTCGGCGATGATCGGACGGCCACGGTGGCGTGCAGCTGACTCTTCACTCAAAGTTTAGTTATGCCGGAAGTCTCCCCGAAAAAGTCTGAAACTGATTCGGATGACCGTGATGGACAGCCGCGATGATGACCGCTTGTAAGCCTTTGAAAAGCACTCAGGCTGCCGTCACGGGAGGCTGACTTGCCAGCCTTACAAGATCACGAGACTCCATCGTGACATATGAAGGATTGCGAATCTCGTGACCCACCTTACGACGTTGAGGTTTTCAAAACAAGTCTTTTCGAATAGTATCTTTTCGGGGCCGCTGACGCACATCAGTCGGAGTCAGACTCCACATTAAAAGCTTTTCTGCTTCCCACCCTGCCCTCACAACCCATGCACGCCCACGCCCACGCCGCCCTGGCTCGCCGCAGCATCTCCTTTTCCTCTGACGTCACCTGGACTGTCACCGCCCCCCGCAAGCCTCTCCTTGATCGTCGCTGCTCCCTCGCCAAGGCAGGCGGGGATCCATCGAGCAGGAGCGGAGCAGAGGAGGCGAGGATGGAGCAGCGGAAACGAAGGCGTGCGGGAGCCAGGCCAGAGCTAGGGAGGAAGGAAGCTGGGGAGAAGGCAGGCATGCTGCTGGAGGCAGTGATGATTGCGAGGAGGAAGAGCTTCGGGCAGTAGGAAAGAAAAGGGGAGGGGCCGAGGGGTAAAATGGGAGCCGAGTGGAAAAAGACTTGTTCTCCCTATGAGTAGGGTTTTGGGAGAAGCTTTCTGGTGTACGATAGAGGTGTATAGAATGTGGTAATATAAGCTTGAAGAACAAGGACGACTGTGTGATACTTCAATTTGTCCATGGATATGGCACTAGGTCATTTTTTCCATGTACAAAGTCAATTCCACTCATCAAGTACGATGCACTGAAGGATCGATGACCAGATCGAGATCGAGGTCGCTACAAATAGGATTGCAAGCAAAATACTTGCTTGATTTATCTGGACTGTTTGTTCGGCTGAAAGTAAATTCAAAGGTTATCTGGAAAAGATCCGTTGGATTCAGGTGGAACTCGTACAGCTTTCATATTTCTCTTCAGAGTGGATGCAGGAGAGACGAGCAGATACACCTGTGATGCAGGGAGATGAACAGTTGATAGAGAGGAAAGTCCTGATAGCAGAGAGGATCCCATTCGTGTTTTGTAACTACGACTGCATTAACATGAGGGAAGTGCTGAGTGGTAGAAGGGGGTGAAAGACTGTAATCATGCCAAGGCACCATGATCAGTGAAAGCAGACTTTGATTTTGCTGAGGAACAATCTGTGATCGGCGATACCAAAGGAAGTCCGTTGTAGGACCTGTTACCTTCTTGGTAGATTTTTGACTAGTTTACCAGGATGTATTGATGAATATCACGATGAGACATGTTTTCATTCTCCCCCATGACGCCTCGCTCGTGCTCAAAGCGTGTGGGATTGCACTCGACAAACACTTTTGTTCTTCAAGCTTGTATTACCACATTCTATACACCTCTATCGTACACCAGAAAGCTTCTCCCAAAACCCTACTCATAGTCCCCTCGTGACCCCTGCGAGGAGCGGCGCAGGAGACCAGCGATACTGTCACCCTGTATCCCCTCGGCCCCCTTTACTCCACGCACTGCCCGAAGCTCTTCCTCCTCGCAATCATCACTGCCTCCAGCAGCATGCCTGCCTTCTCCCCAGCTTCCTTCCTCCCTAGCTCTGGCCTGGCTCCCGCACGCCTTCGTTTCCGCTGCTCCATCCTCGTCTCCTCTGCTCCGCTCCTGCTCGATGGATCCCCGCCTGCCTTGGCGAGGGAGCAGCGACGATCAAGGAGAGGCTTGCGGGGGGCGGTGACAGTCCAGGTGACGTCAGAGGAAAAGGAGATGCTGCGGCGAGCCAGGGCGGCGTGGGCGTGGGCGTGCATGGGTTGTGAGGGCAGGGTGGGAAGCAGAGGAGTTTTGTCCGAGACTCGGGGGCGGGGACCGTGCGCATTCTCGAAAAGAAGTCTTTTGAAGTAATCGCTTGCCATGTAGCCCGTGATCCCCTGACCAGTTACAGTGATCTTCATGATCACGAGCCCAAGTGATCTTGTAAGGCTGGCATGTCATGTAAAGCTGGCATGTCAGCGCCATAATGTTTACAACAGGGCAGTCATGTTGCTGATTGTCAGCTAATCATGACTCCGCCGAAGAAGGTACAATCGGTCCGAACATGTCCTCGTGACCGGTGGATATAGCTTCAAGGATAATGGCTTCAGTGACTCTCCTCTAAACTCAGGCGACACCCCCGGCCCGGGTCCCGGGCCCGTTGGGCCCAAATCAAAACTGATGCGGGCCTGTCCATGCGGTCGGGACAAAAGTTTTTTAGATGGCGATGCAGAGGAGGGAGGCTGACGAGGGAGGAGAAGGGAGCAGGAGAGGCAAGACGGTTGAGAAACGATGCGTAAACGCTCTCGAGAACATGAGCAAAACCCTGTAGAGCACTCACGCACTCATAGCTCACGTTGAGAATGGAAGATTCAGTTGTTTGCGTGTCTTTCTGGCATGCTAACATAGCCACCAAGATCTAGACCGAGACTGCGGCAAATTAGATGGGCGAGGAGCGCATGAGCTAGGATCCCTTCTGAAGCCAGTTCGATGAATCCTGTAACATTTCTTGCAGGCTCTCAGCCTGTGCAGTCTATAAGCATCTCTTCATGACTTCAAGAGTTGCCCTGTTGAATGTGGCGTTACTGTTTGCGCATGCCGGGCTGGCATCCAGTCGCCTCACCAAGATGGAGGAGATTCCTTTCCACAAGAACTTTCTGCTGTCAGAAAAAGTCTCAGAGAGCCAACTCGATAAGATGGGGATCGGAGGACTTATCGGGTGATCCCTTGAGTTGTATTGTTTGCGACTTTTTCATCCTTTCTTGTTCGCTCTCCCCGTGCCCTGCTTCTCGTCTACCGGAAACAAGAAGCAAGCATCTTTCTATTCTCTTCTGTCTTCTGTTCCCTGTGAATATTACCTGTTACCTCTTTGCTCTTTATGACCCTCCCTAATGCGTCACAACAAGACAAGTCATACTCCTTGTTACCTAGTTGGAATTTTCCTTCTCATCTGACGAGTCCGCAGACTTGGAGCTTCACTGGGAGTTCTCCATGTCCTGACTGGCCCTGATCACATGAGCGCAATCGTGACTTTGTCCGTTGGAGGACGTTTTAGAGCGTGAGTCTGGACTTAAGCTGTCTTGCATTTACCTTTGCAACCTGCTTTCTGTTTGTATCCCTCCAGTTCGATGAGATAGGACTCCTGTAACTATGTTGAGACACGCTCCTGTCTGTGTGCTCGGATGGAGGGTGCGGATACAGAACATGATTGCTCGACTGTCAGGGTTTGGATGGGAGCACAATGGGGGTTAGGACACTCAGCTGGACTCCTCATCATGTACGCTGTCTTTCGAGCCGTCGGGGGATCCATCGACCTTGACAAGACCGGGCACTTTGTAGATACTGTGAGTACTATCATACTGTCATCGTGTTTGTCTTTCTTGAGCTTGATGATCCTTTTCTTGATCCTTTTCTTATTGTTTGTCGTGTTCTTTGGGTTGTTTTTTTCTTATTCATTGCTTGCTTGTTCTTTTCTTATTCTCACACCATGGATTAAGTTGGTAGGGTTTGTGATGATAGCGCTCGGACTGTACGGATGTTATCAGGCAAACAAGATGCGAAAGAACATGCGGCAGCGGAGCGACGGACAGTGAGTTTGATTGGTTGAGATGTTGCATAGTGCCGGTTGATGGGGTTTCAGGAGTTTTTTCAGCTCCTCTGATGAGCTGCTAGAGAAGGAAGTACGGAGAGACGAAGAGGATGAGGGGTTGGCGTCTTGGCAGAGCGAGAGCCGAGAGGACTCGTGTAAAGTGGAAGTCCGCGAGGATGAACGGCAAGGCAATCATCATGTAAGTTGCTGTATTTGTATGATGCACTCCTGATGTGTGAACAGTCTAGAGATCCTGCGAAATCGCCACGTGACGTGGAGATGAGTTCAGAGGTTGTAACTGGATCGTCTGTTGAGATGAAGCCAGAGATTGTAATGGACCACCTTGTACTCATCTTCGACAGAGAATTTGTAATGCTTGCTGCAACACAGACCAGGGAGCAGGCAAAGCACGACGTTGAAAGGATTGACAATGAAGACACTAAGAGATGTTCTGATGAGACCAGCCTTGAATCCACAAGACAGAGATCCTTTGGAGAATTCCTACTACACACTTGGCGTCTCCATTCTCGTCGGTACTCTCCTCTTGTGCCGCCTCCACAGCCTCCTGCTCACCCGTCTCAGCATCGTTGCTCTTTTTGTTGGCATCTTACACGGACTTGCGGGTATGCGCCTTTTGTATTCATTTGTCCGTCTTACCTGTCTTCCTCTTTCCCCCTTCTCTCCTTCTTTCCCGTCCTCCTTTCCTCCCTCCTTTCTTCCCTCCTTCACTTTCTCCTCCATGTTCTCCTTGCCCCCCTCCTCGCCTTTCCCTGCTTCTCCAGGCCCTGGCGGCATCCTTGGAGTTCTGCCAGCCATCGCTCTCAAGGACAGGTGCTCCCGCTTGCTCCCGCTCGCTCTTGTCCATGGGTCCGGTCTTAAAGTTGCATTTGGACTTCTTTCCTCCTTAGCTACTCAACCTCCTCCTGCCTTGAGCGCTCTTCCCTTCCCTTCCCTGCTCCTGCATGCTCCTTGCTCTCCCTCACTCTCTCGCAGTCTGCGCTCTGGCTGCTACCTCGGATCTTTCTGCGTGTGCAGCATCTTAAGTCTGGTTGCTTGCCCTGCCTCCATCTCCTCACCCTCCAGCAGTCATGGGAGTGTTTGCGGCTTTCTGGGGAGAAATCACAGCCCGAGCGAGCTCCACTGAGAAGTGAGGAGAGAGGAGGCTGCTGGGGGAGAGCAGAAGGGGAAAGAAGACAGGAATGGCGAGATGGGGAGGGGAAGAGTGGGGAGGACAAGAGAGCTCAATCGTAGCAGGAGGATGGGAGGTGCTGAGGAGGGAGGAGAAAACGAGGGCGAGACGTTTCTATGGGATGGGATGATATGAAGGCACCTGCGCCTGACTGCTTGTCTCCTTCCCAGCGCCAAGTTTGCCATGGTCTTATTCTCTTCTGCGCTTGCTTTATGCGTTGGAATCATGTGGCTGGTGAGATGACTCTACCACAAAAACTCCTCCTCCTCCTCCTCCTCCTCTTCCACTCCTCCTCCTCCTCCCTCCCCTCTTGCTCTTGCTCCTCCTCCTCCTCCTCTTCCTTGTCCCCGGCCTTTGATCACCTCTCGCTTCTGCACATGAATTGCTTCACACCCGAAAGCAGCTACTCTGCAGCTCCTTGAGAGCTTCCAGACTCCATGTTGACCCTCTACCTCAATCTGCTCGATCGCCTCTCTGTTGAAACTCTTGATGTTCTTCAGATTCTGCTCTTCACTGGCACGATGGACCAAGTGTTTCCGTGAGGCGTTTGTTTCCGCTTGGGTCTTTGTGTTTCACGTTTTCCTTGTGCTTGACTGAATCAGTCGCAAACATTCTCATGATTCTTTTCTTCATTCAATCCAAACATGTTATTCTTACAAGGCTGCACAAATCGTTATACGATCTTTCACAAAGTAAAGTGGCATGAGTGCAAATAGATCTGGTGGCAGACTTTCAAATGTGATTGCTTCATAGATTGACACGGAAGACATGATAATGTCTGTAGCAATGTGTGATTTGAATTTCAAAAAAGAGAATGATAGTTCATACCTCAACAGGTCTTGTGCAACAAACAAGGCGTACAACACAAGCATGATGTATCCCATTCCCTTTCATTCCTTGTCATCATCTTGGCAGCACAAGGTCATCATCAACTCACCTTTGTCATCTTCCAGTCGCACCACAAGATGGTAACAACCACCAAAAACACCATAGCAAAGAGAATCAGAAGAGACAGAAACAGAGTCCCGTCTGATGAGAGTGGTATCCTGCATACAGCTGTCAGAATCGAGAATGATCAATTCTAACTTGTTTCTGATGTGGTCCGTTTGTGAATATCATCACCATCACCACAACTGTCATCATCAACATCGTCACACTTCAAACAAACAATCAATCATCATAATCAACAGCAACAGCATCAGCAAGTTGCATCATCACCATCGCAACATGGAGCATTACCCTTGTCCGAATGCGATGCAACCAAGAAGCCAAGGGAAGGGCAGGCCCATGGCGACATCGAAGATGTTACTACCTGCACTCCTGTCACTCCCAGCACCTTCCCCAACTGGTCACCTATGGAGCTCGAGACTGCCATGTCGCCATGCCCTTGCTTCGCTACGATCACACTGCAGCCGATGCTCTCAGTGTCTGTCCGTCAGCCTACAAGTTTCAACTTTCAACCTTGTTATCAAGTCCGGTACGCTCGTTCCCGCCGCTAGAAACGTCAAACCCATCACGGCCTGTCAGTCAATTTCATCAGTTGACAGGCTGGGAAGTGAGTTGAAGGACCTGAGGGATTCCAATGAAGTCCCCGATGACAACAGCCCACCAAACCTGAGAGAGAAGAGGCAGGAGTTAGAGGGAGCAAGGTTGTTCGACAAAAGAAGAAAAAGAACAAAAGAGAGGAGAAGAGAGGAGAGGAGAGGAGAGGAGAGGAGAGGAGAGGAGAGGAGAGGAGAGGAGAGGAGAGGGGAGGGGAGGGGAGGGGAGGGGAGGGGAGGGGAGGAGAGGGGAGGCGAGGAGAGGCGAGGAGAGGGCTCACCATGAAATAGGCATAGATAGCTATCCACACTATTGACATAAGGAACGTAAAGTAGAAATACTTTTCCCACCTGTAACACATCAGAAGAGACAAGTCAAGCGGGTGTATGAACCCATTCTTCCATCGAACGTCAGGAATGGTGAAGTAGAGAAAAACGTTGCTGTCAAGTTAGAGTTACTTGATGGTGCACGGGTTGCAACAAGAGAACTGACATCGGAAACAGAACCAGATAAATAACACGACCATAGAGGTCTGGAGGAAACTGCAGGGAAGCTCCTTCCGACTCTTCTTCCTGACAAGTTGCAAGTAAGAGCTCGTCGACGTCGCTGTCATCGTCATCATACCTCTTCACCCTCTTTGTCGCTGCCTTGCGTTCCACGCGGTCTGCAGAAGAGATTTTATAAGCGAATGAAACTGGAGAAGGAAGCTCTGCAAGCACCGGAGCTCGTTGTGCTTCTTGTACCACTGAAAGAAGTCGTCGAAGCTGATCTTTCCACCCTTTGCCAAGTCGGACGTAAAAGGAGAGATATCTGAGCAACATGTCAACTGATGACGAGGTGTTGTTCTATTAGACTGCATACACACGCAAAGAAGTTTTCGAGTTGTCTTACTTGCTAACTTCTTTGTTGCGTTTGCATCAGACGACACGAATGAAAGAAACTTGTTATAGCTGTTCTCATCGTCAACACATGTTTATGAAGGGAGATCTGTTCAGACCCGTCTTGGTCAAGCTCGCCATCGTCTGCAATGTTGAGCTTTTTGAACAAAGAGTGCAGCTCAGCCTGCAGATAGTTGAGATAAGTATCCGTCATTGATGCGAACATTACAAAACAAATCTCACCTTGATCTTGACTTCTCCTGCGTTGTACCTGTATGCAAACATCCGTCAAACTGCAACTCCAAGCTGTCTGCCAGCACCAGTCTTGGAAGTCTTGAAACGTTATCAAGCCTTCAGAATCTTCTCGCGCATTCTTCTCAGGCTTCATCATACAGGTGTAATGAACTCACTTGTCTTGTTGGCCTCTGCTGACTGAATGTCTGAAATCGCAGTATTCACCTGCAACACGTTTGAATCATAGTTGCAGTTTGGACTTCCATCACCTCCTCGCTCGAAGGCTCCTTTTGCAACAGCCTTGTCATCATGGCCTTAAGGTCACTTTCACCGATGAACCCATCTTTGTCGAAATCGAACTGAGCTCATCGTCATGGTCATTGCACAAACTCTCCATCCTCCTACATCATCAAAAGTCTCCCTCACACCTCCTGCAACTCCCGAGACCGCCCGTATTTGCAACCTTCAAGATGGTATCAGCTCGAATACAGACAGGAGAAATGTTCGCACTCTTCAACGGGATGCTTGTTGCTGGTGAGGAACTTGACGAGTCCCATGTGGAAGATAACGGTCGCGTCCTCTTCCTCAGGCTGCTCGTCGCTAGTTCCAGCTTCTAGATCTGTTGTCGCAAACGTCGGTACTGCTACCAACAACCCAACGCTCAATGTAACCTTGTGACTCTGGGCTGATCTATACAGAGCAAGTCAGCACCTGATTGCCCAAATAACGTTCTACCTTGCGGAGTTTCTTCACCCAGTTTTGCAGAGGCGTGTTGTACTTGAATCCGATGAGTCAGAGGCTTCAAGTTGCATCTCAATCGGTTCACCAAACCTTCATGACGAGGACATATCCTGCATACAGCAGGAGCATTATAAGAGCCTGTATTGACTCAGTCAGAAAACTCAGATGGTAAGCCGGGTCAATGACCTCCCACCAATGGATTCGCTTGTCATCGGAACCATACTGTCATTCACCATCAAACTCGCGCTGAAACAACAGGCAATGGATGACCTGATAGAAGAGAGCTAGAACCAGCAGCGTGAGGCAGTAGTAGGACGAGTCTCTGATCAGAGGCCAGGAGGTAAGCTGCAGAGCAGTCTGCAACGCGTTCATGTCATCCTGCTGTCGGTCTAGGAGCAGGAGACTTGCCTTGGAAACCAGAGCGCATGCTGCAATAACGAAGAGGACGTTGAAGACAGCAGAGCCTACGATGGTACTGCAGGAGACGCTCACCAAGCTCAAGAGCATGCTTCACCAGCTCCCCACCTGAATCCAACCTCTGTCTTGGTGATGAACACTCCTATCAACGAGGTGAAGAACTCAGGCGCGGACCCGCCAGCAGCCATCAAAGTCGCTCCTGTTCGCCCCTGTCAGCCGCTGCAACAGGTTCAGGTCTTGAGCGCTCACCTGCAACATCGTTGGAGATCTGATACTTTTCTGTGATGACTTCAAGCGCCGGCACAAAGTAATCATCGCAAACGATCGCCAGAGCAACGAACATGTACAGCACGCCTATGATGTACAACACCACCCCTCCCCCGAACCCGTTCAGCCCCATCTTCGGGTAAGACGCCATGTCAGAGCAATGCGCTTTGAATGAACACAGGTCCCCCATACTCCCGCAGGACACGGCATCCTTGTGCCAGTATTGCAAGCATTCCAGGTATGGGGACCCTGTCAGGCTATCGCTTCCGATGCAGACAGCTCTCCATGCTGCAAGATCCGCGAACATTGGGACTGCGGAGCAGTTGTTTATGTTTCTTCTCGAAGAACGAGAGACAACATTACTCTCTGTGGGGTTGTGTATTGGAAACAGGATATGTCCGGCAAACGCCCCAAGAATGCACACCAAAACGGCAAAGCAGAAGAACTGTTTGATCACTTTGCTTCCTTCCTTCCGGGCCTTTGAGCAGATGCTACGGTACTCTGACCTTCGGCAAGCTCGCAGCATGGCACACACTCAATCAGCTTACTTGAACTCTCAAAGATTATTCGCGCTAGTTCTCCATATTGTTCCTCCTGTACCTCCTTGTCTGACAAGCCTCCCCCATTTCCTTCCCCTGATCGGGCCTCATCAGTACCCACCCCCCTCCTTGGACCCTACCCTCTGAGGAAATATCCAATCGAACTTACAACCCCACTACCCTACCCCACTATTTCCAATGTTCCCCCACCCTTCTCTTCTCCTCCAAACTTCCCCAGTTCGGCCCTGTAAAAAGGAAATTCAAGGTCTGGTACCCACCCTTTCCACCAGTGAAACTACCCTACCCTCAATAGATTGTGCCTCCAGTAGAAACCACCCCTCCATAGTAAAATGTTTCCCCCCATACCATTGACCACTGGTGGACATGAGCTCAACATCCTTACCGTCAGACCGTCGGGGCAAGACCCTCCCCCTTTGCACTTAGTCCTCTTCTTAATAAATCCACTACCTTGAGCATTTTAGTGAAGTTGACACCATGACCTTCACCTTCTTTTGGAAACTTTCGGTTGAGATAGCGCATCAACCTCGAACCGCCGCCGCGCAGCGACCGACCGTCGGCGGGCGCCGCCGCAAGGTCCGCCAGGCGCAACTCAGTGCCTCCGGGGCCCGGTGACCGTGCCGGGCCGGTGATTCAATGTCACAGGCTGATCGGACCGGCACTAACTCCGCCCGGTCAACGGAAGTTATGATCAACGTCACCGTCTGCTGGCAGCGGCACTCCGGGCGGCCGCTCGGCCCTGCCAGCCCCCCGCAGCCGGTCAGTCGCGGCCGGGCCTGGCAGCCGTACCGTACCGACGGTTTAACGGTCAAGTTCGTGTGCCTGGCAGTCACGGGGGCCCTGACCGGGCCGGGGCCGTCCGACTCCTCGCCGCGCCCGGCCGCCGCCGGTAGCCTCAGGCCGCGCCACTGGGCCGCCTGACTCGGTCCGTCGGACACTGGTCACAGTAGTAAGTCGCCGGGAGCCTGGACTCCACTGAGAGGACTCCGTCACACGGTGGCCTGCCAGTACTAGTTGTTGTGACTAGTAACTTAGTGACTTGCGGCAGCCGGCCGGGCGGCGCTGAGCGCTGCTGAGCGCCTCACCGTGACAGAGTCACTGAGAGTCACCGGGCCGCCCGGCCGGGCCCAGGCCGGCCCCGGCGGCGCAGTCCGACGGCGCGGCGGGCGCCGGCCGCGCAACCCGGATGCCCTCACATGATAAAGTATCACTTTCCTGGTCCGGGTTGCGTGGTCATGAGGGGTCACTACACTATTAAGGCCCAGCGACTCGGTTTTCAATTGTGAAAGCTAGTGTGACTGGTGAGTACCGCTGCCGATGACACTGAGTCTGAAAGCTACTAGTATGATCCGAAGTGAGTTGGCCGTTGGGTTTCTGGGGGCATCGTTGTACTCTTCTACAAGAAGTTTCAAGTACAGAAGGTCTGCAACAATGTCCTTGGTCCGATCCCCTAACTTATCTGCCTCGAATGACTCCTGCCAACCTGAAATCGGCTGTCAGAGTAGGGCAAGTTGCAACAAATGTTATACTTGTTGAAGACGTTCGACGAAGTCTGCTGTGCAACCTCAGGCTCTGCTGCTAGAAGTTTCATCAGCATCGTGAAGCGACAAGCTCACGGCTACTCTACCAGCAGCTTCTCCGTACCAGTGCTGCCTAGTGAACTCACTGTTTCAGCAAAAGCTCGTTCAGCATCGAGCAACGTTAGCATCGCGCAATAGCTACTTCGCATGTCTTGTTTGAAGGTACATCTGAGCTGCTGCCTCGACATCTGCATCTCTCGCAGACAACACCTATCTTGAATCAGAACGCCAGTGAGCTAAAACCTAAAGATGCCTGGTCTTTTCCTCCGTAATTATGAAGGATGATATAATACGTGTCTTGGAGGGGAGGAAAACTGTTTGGAGCCATGAGAGAACTAATGGAAGGAACACATTCATACATTTCTCCCATGACTATTCTCACTGGCGGATATTTGTGCATCGCATATGACCTGTATGTGAGTGCAAATCAATCGGAGGGTCGGGCATGAGTCGACACGTACCCGCCTCCCAGCACCACCACATCGCCCACGAGACCAGCTACGAAGGTCCACTTCATACGCGTGAACCATACGCCTAGATCTCGTTCTCAGGGACAGGAGGACGCGGGCAGTGATCACAATGTCACCTGCTGTTGAACCGAGATATTTTGAGACGAATGCTGACATTTTCACTGCATAGGGGGCGTCAGAGCTCGAACCTGTCCCTAGATCTCTCATGACATATTTTGAATACAGATGTCTCGCACTGCGACTGCCGTCCATCTCTTCTCTGCCCTCCTCCCTGAACTTTCTTCGCTCCACCTCCCTCGGCCCTGCCCTCGGCCCCCCATCGCGAAAGGATCCGCCAGTATCCGGTAGGAAGTATCCGCAGGTATCCGTGAGTATCCGTCACTGCAAACTCTCATCGTTCAAATTTGAACTCTTCAAGTTTCAAAGTTTCGAAGTTTCTTGTTTAAGACAGCGCGCATGCTGGACAAGGAGGAGAAACCGATCATGGCGTTCGGTGTGATCGCGGACATCCAGTATGTGAGTGAAGCATGCGATGAGGGAGACAAAACCGTGCGGGAGTGATGCTGGCGGCTGAGACTGCAGCGAAGTAGGAGAGGACATTTGCAGGATGAGATGGTGTAGCAGACGAAGGAGGGAGCAAATGAGTTCGTGTTGTGTTTGTGAAACCCCGGCAATGTAGGGATGCCTGCATGCGTAGACAGGTGGGTTCGCAGAAGACTAGTTGAAAGAGAGCTGATGCTGCTCACCAAATTCCTGATCCTGTCGTTCCTCTTCAGGCCGATGCTGAGGACGGCACAAACTTCGACAAATCTGCTGTCAGACGTTATCGAAACAGCCTCAGGGTATTAGATGGAGCCGTGGCGGACTGGAACGCCGAGAAGCATTCTCTTGATGTCATAGTTCAGCTAGGTGACATCATTGACGGTATGAACTGGAAGTTGCAGAGCTCCACCAAGGCTCTCGATGACGTCATGCAGCATTTCTCAAAGCTGCAGTGCGATAAGGTCATTCACGTGATAGGGAATCACGAGCTGTACAACTTCGACCGAGGGACTCTGAGAGATCGCCTACTGAAGCCATGGAGACAGAGCCATGACTACTTCTCGGTCTCACCCGTCCCAGGGATCAAGTTGGTGGTGATTGATTCATATGATGTGTCCACCATAGGAGCAACTTCAGAGGAGTATCACTCTCTCGCACTTGAGATACTCAAGGCAAATAATCCTAATGACACCAGCAAGAACGGGGACTGGAAGCATGGCCTAGAGGGAGTGGAAAAGCGATTTGTCCCGTACAACGGGGGTGTAGGAAACGAGCTCAAGTTGAAATGGTTGGAGCAAGAGCTGGCAGAGGCTGAGGAGGCTGGCCAAGTTGTGATCATTCTCTCGCACATCTCAGTCCATCCTGAATCGTGCTCTCAATCTTGCCTGGTCTGGAACTATCAAGATCTCCTGCAGATGTTTCAGTCCTCAAGCTGTGTTGTTGCTGTGTTCTCAGGTCATGATCACAAGGGAGGGTACGCCGTTGACGAGGTGAGAGAGTGTGTAAGAAAGCCGCATCTTCAGATCTCATTCTCACATGTTATCCTCACATGTCATCGTCACATCTCATCCTCACGCTTCTACTGCAGTATGGAATCCACCATGTCACAGTACAGTCTCCTTTAGAGTGTCTCCCGGAGTCAAGCGCTTATGGTACATCTTGTGCAAACTCTTCGTTGCTGTTGACACGATGGTGACAGGAACAGTTCACGTGTATCAGGACCGACTGCGCCTTCAAGGTCGTGGGGACGTGCCTTCTCGGGTACACCATGTTGCAAAAGAGCGAACAAGCGCCTCACTTGAGCATTTAACAGGAAATGTGGTTTCGGTCGAGTAAGACTCACCAGCACGGGAAGGATGCGAAACATTGAGAGTCGTGTAAAACTAAACCAGGTTGTGGATCCAGCGGGCGAGTTGGCGCAAACATATAAGGAAGATGCGAAATGAGATGTATTTTGTAGTATTTTGTAGTATTTCATGTTTGGTTTTTGCGATTGAAGACCTCAGTACAAGAAAACACGCAAACCAGAGCTCTTCCGTTGACAGATTGACACAAAGTTGGAATGAACCTGTCACTTTATCATGGTTGAGGGTCACAGACGTCTACAGCGGAATCAACTTGATCAATCAATGGCTCAGTGTGAAGATATGTAGCACAGGCAAGCACATTCATCAGCGATCTGCTGGTTGCTCCCTCTAACACAAGTAGGGTTCAGGGTTTAGGAGACTGTTCGATTGTTCTAATGCTGCCACACAATGAATGGCTTGGCCCCGCCTTCGATAGCTGTGAGCAAACATTGATTGGTATCACATGGGAGTAAAGAAAGATGTTATAACGTACGCAGAGACATCACGGTAGAAGAGCTATTGATTGCATGGATATGTTTATTTAAGGAAATATATTACAATGTTGTACAAGACCTCCATTGCCCCTGACTAGCCCAGACGCCTCCCTTGCCGTCATCGATCCTCGCACTCAGACTCGCCCGCGAAACGTCTTGATCCAGCGCTCGACCTGTTGGAGGCCTTGGCTCGTGCTGCGACGAGAGCTCTCATCACCATCTCTCCGGCTGCTGCTCTGCCGCCCTCAGGGCGGGGGGTCACTTGCGGGGCAGGATCGAGACGGCGGGAGCTTCGGGCAGGGATCGAGGAAGGAGGGGAGGACCAAGAAGGCTGGGAGGCGACTCTGATGGAACGAGGAGGAGGAGGAAGGTGCATGTTCGTGTTACAACATTCAGGTGGGTGGATTGATATAATGGGGAAAGGGTTCCCCTTTACTACACGGTCGGAGTACCGGGAGTTAAAACTTCGGCGGTCAGCAGCTGCTGGGCACAGCCACGGCTGTACCGAGCACCCCTTTTATGTCAGTGAAACCACCCGGTGCCGCTCGTTATTGACTCAGTGACAAGAGGCAAAATGCACGGACACCAGCAGTCACGTTTTCACTGCACGCCTCAATATCTGAAAGATTCGTATCCGAACTTACTCCCCCAGTCACCTGCAGGAACTCCGGAACGTTGTGGTTAACTCAGACCGATGACATGCACGGACTCTGCCGGTCACGGAATAAGTTAAGTGCTGTGGTAAACACCGCCTGACCTCGACGCTTTACCCAGTCCACTGCTCTCACTGCAACAATATCACGCAAGCTCTGAGCTCAGGATGCCACACACCCTGTATTCCCCTGCTCCTGCTCCTGCTCCTGACCATGGCCCTCATCATCCTCCTCCTCCTCCTCGTTCCATCAGAGTCGCCTCCCAGCCTTCTTGGTCCTCCCCTCCTTCCTCGATCCCTGCCCGAAGCTCCCGCCGTCTCGATCCTGCCCCGCAAGTGACCCCCCGCCCTGAGGGCGGCAGAGCAGCAGCTGGAGAGATGGTGATGAGAGCTCTCGTCGCAGCACGAGCCAAGGCCTCCAACAGGTCGAGCGCTGGATCAAGACGTTTCGCGGGCGAGTCTGAGTGCGAGGATCGATGACGGCAAGGGAGGCGTCTGGGCTAGTCAGGGGCCGCGAAGAGGGAGAGAGGAGGAAGGAGGGATGCAAGCTGATATCACCACAAGCTTGTGTGAGAGGGAGGAGAGGACAATAATCTCGTTGTGTTTTTAATCTTTGTATTTTTACATGAATTCTGAATGAAGCAATATCTGTTTTGAAAGTGAGTGACATGTGTCGTGAGGAGACTTTGAACTTGATCAGCATCTCTCATTGAGATGCCAGCCAAGGTGGCTGAAGTGTTTTTGTCGTGAGGGGATACACAGATCTTCATTTGACTCCAGTAAGATGCTTGTTTTATGAAAACAGAACAAGCAATGCTGATAGCTTTACTGGCGAGTAATCAACATTTCATCCATGCACTGGCACCTCAAAGGAGCCTGAAAGTCTCACTTTATTTTCCGATTTCAACGCTGTGATGTTGTAAGATTCCACAGTGACTGTCACCGGGTATGCTGACTGTATTTTCCGAGGAAGCTTCCACGACGCTCAGCTCAGCTGTCACTTAAGAGTCATATGCCGCAGTGCTGCAAGTCCGACAGTGATCGTCGTCAGATTATCAGACCACTGTCAACCACAAAGAGCATGAGTCACGTCTAGCTGGTCTCACCGCCGGGGTCTCCGCATGTCCTCTGAGGCAGGCTTGTAGTTGAAAATGTCGACTAAGGAAATGCACTCGGTCAAAGGGCTGTGAGGGTAGGGAGGGGACAGGGACGAGGAGAGGGTGGAGGAGGAGGAGGAGGAGGAGGAGGAGGAGGAGGAGGAGGAGGAGGAGGAGGAGGAGGAGGAGGAGGAGGAGGACGAAGACGAGTACGAAGACGAAGACGAGGAGGAGCAGTAGGACGAGGAGGAGGAGGAGTAGGACAGGGAGGAGGAGTAGGACGAGGGCGAGGAGGAGGAGATGATCTAAGTATGAACACTGGAGGAAACTGTAGCAGTCGAATATTTATCGCAGTGTGAGGAAGTGATATTGACCTGAACCTGTCAGCGTTGGTTGGGTAGACAAGACAGAAGAAGCAAGGACGCATCTGACAGCACTCACGGAGTCTGATCTGAGAGAAGTTTCCACATGTAGGTTGGGAGATGCAGAGGTCAAAGTCAGTTGGCCTTATCCTCAACCTTTCGGCCTTCCGCCTCCTATGTAGCCTTGTCAATGCCAACGTAAGTGATTCCTACCATCATCCCCCTGATCATGTGGACCCTCTCTTCCTCTCCTTCCTCCCCTCCCTCCCCTCCCCTCCT